TTCTGCCCAGAAAAAAAAAACAATCCCAACTACAAATAAACTGAACAAATGTTTCATCACCCCAAAAATCAGTTAATGGAAAATTTGGATTTTTATGATGCCTGATTATGTTTCTTTTCTGCTTTTTGTTCGGGTTTTTAGTGTAGTTTTAGTTGTTGCCGTTGTGTAAAAACATTTGTGTTTTTTAGTTGTTTTCAGTCAGTTTTGTTTCGCCATTTTTTCGTCATTTGTGTTAAATATTATATATATATATGTATACATTTAAATGTATTTGGTTTGTGGTTTATTTGTGTTCAAACAATTTTTTTCCTCGATTTTCCTAACGAAGAAAAAGAAAATATGACCAAAACTAGTTAGAGATTTTAATGCATTTATGAAATAATAATTACCATTTTCCATTTTTTTTTATTTATTCAATTTATTTTATTTTTTATTTTTTGAAAAAGTTTCATTTAAAACTACAACTACTACTACATTTTCCTATTTATTGTTGGTACACTAATACCCTCCCTCCGATTGCCTTGTATAGCATATCCTTTTTTGCCGATGTAATAATGTTTTATTTAGTTTAAAATGGATTTTGTATTTTACAGGATTTTGGTAAATGAAACAGTGGACCCTAGATAGGAAATTAAATCAATAATTTGCCATTTATTTTTTTTCGGGTATCATATTTAGGCATAAACTGCGCTGAAATAAAATGAAATACAGTGATGGTGATTGACAAGAATCCATTTCACCCGAATCAATGACTGCCTTGATGAGCGATGTTTTTTGATTTAGGTTGGAAGAAGAAAGCTAAGGGAGGCGAAATCAAAACATGGCATGAATCAATGAAGCCACTGCCAAGTGGATTGAGTCATGCTGGTAGATGTAGACTATCTGACTAGGGTCCACAAGATGATAGTAATTAATGGTAAGAGACGTTGAATAACATGGCCTAAAATCGTTTGCAGTGGTGGAGATGCATTCAATTCTTTGTATTTTTTCTATCTCTAACCGTCTGGATTATTCATCACCTTTGTCTTTTTTGTTTTAAATTTGTTTCACTCAATTATGCTTCTCGAATCATACCTTCGACACTTAATATTTTTGATTGCCGATAATATTTTTTCTAACTCTATCACAATTTGATTTGAACTGACATTTGCGTCTTTGTTCTAATCTGTTATGGCAACTTGAACTGATGTACCCACGTACGAAATTCTACGTTGTCGTAGTAGTTGGTTTGATGTGCTGTGTAAAAGAATCCAGTTAATGATGATGAGTACTCAGTCAGATGTTTGTGCTAAACAGTGGAGTGAATGCAGCTAAACATTGTCATTTTTGAACACTAACTCCCTAGTCTGAAGGTTGGATATTCTTACATTATTCTGTAGTTCTTGGATTCGATTCCCAGTAGTGGTAGGTAGTGGCTATGGATTGTTGATTTCAAATCGTTTTCCAAATTTCCCATCTTCGTCTAATTAATATCCGTAGATTAATTGCAATTCATGTATTTGTTCTGTCGTTGATGAGAATAAAATAAGACTGAAAAAGATTGGTTTCACTTTTCCGTGTTATTATACTCCTCTCTGATTATTATTATTATTATTATCATTATTATAATAGTGATTCATTTTGACTGAAAATTGTTTTGTATGCCTTTTTTTTCTCGTTTTTCCCTATTATTAAAATTAATTAATCGGCAAATGCTATATTTAGAAAACAGAAAAAATTGACAAACAAAGTACATGTACTGTACTGTACTTTACAGTCAGTACATGTACTGTCTAGACTATCAATTAGAAGCAATGAAATATCATCATCATCATCATCATCATCATCATCATCATATATGATGTATGTGAAGGAACAAAATGTACTCATTAGTAGTGACCGGTGTTTTTTAAGGATATCAATATATAATTAGTGTCAGCTAGCGGATTTTTATCGGACTAATCTCTCTCTAGTTAAATGATGAATACAGCGCATTAATTCATTGTTCTTAATGAATCTATTCAGACTTATATGTTATTACTGAATGGTGAATAGATTATCAACATTAGTTCTCTTATGGTGATAATGTTGATGTATATATATATATATATATATATATATATATATATATATATATATATATACTGACATCATGTTACCCTTATTCATTGTATATTACATTACTGTACACAGGGGAAACTATCTGACTAAATAGTATATATCTATACATTTTATACGTATTCAGTGAATGAGATGATTTTAAAATGGTGTTAGTGATGTATGAATGGTTAACACTGTTTAAGTGCTTAATTCATAAAAAAAGATACTTCAGTCGGATGCTTGAAAATGAAACTGGAATTAGGCAATTCAAGAGCTTGATGCCAGAGCTTAAGGAGAAATCATGTTAGACCAGTTCATATACTGCTTTTAGATGAGCTCATTGCCTTAAAAGCCTTATCGCAAGAGATGCTAATCTGTGGGATGAGTTGAGGTAAGCCAATTTCAAGCCGACGGTTTCTAACCCGCTCTTTCTGCCGGAGGAATGCAGTTTCACTAAAGATGCTAGCTGACCAAGTGGGACATCTCACTGTTGTCACACTTCTGTACAGTTAGCAGTATTACTTCACAAAAAACCGTAAATTTGATTTCTTTAGTCTCGTAGTTTTCTAACCTATCAGCCTAGCGTGCTAGACTGAAAGGAATGGTTATATTGCAGCCAGTAAGTAGTTTGATTGGCACATCAAGGATAGGTAAGCCCGACCGCTATGTCAATGTAGTAGCTGCGATCGGATTGTATTTATTTAATTTTAAACTGCATAAAACTTACTATTCAGTATGAAACTCTGATTAATTTGCCGAAATTCGCCATCATTTTCCGTATTGCAATAAAATAACTGTGGCTTTATCACAATACATTTTAGGAGAAACTATTTGAATGACTTTTTCTAGTTGAAGTATACTCATTTTCAATGATCTATGTGCATACAGAAACTACTTACTAAATTATTATGATGTTTTAAACAATCAGTTCCTTTTTTTATAAACCTAAATCATGCAATAATGAGACAGAGTTAATTGGAAACATGTAATGTAACTTGTCCTTAATACATTTTGAGAAATGTGATCACGTACATTTACTACTTGTACAGCTATTTGTAAAATGCAAACAAATCCTAGTCACAGCTGAATATAAGGTGGAATAAAAATGCAAACAAAGTGATAATTAGAAATAGTGTGATGGAGTTTCATTCTCTCAGAGCTGAATATTTTGGTTGTGGGGCTTTTATCATTATTCTTCTGAACAACAACATCATCAGCATAAACTTTAGATAGAGAATTATAACTTGCATGAAAAAGATGTTGGAAGAAGAGATGAAATAACATGGAAAGAATAAAGTGTCAAATCAGTCTAAACGATGTATATATGAGTCGTTTTTATTATATGTGGACTATTTCGGAAACAAACAAATGTAAAATACAAGCCAATAGTTTATTAATTTAGATATGGAACCCTACTGCGGTTACTGTCAGTCGCAAGCATGGATAAAGGTGGAGCGTTAGGCATAGCGTTAGCAACCCCATCCTGTAAAAAACCAACCTGCTTAAAAAAGCACTAACCAGAGAATATAATTTAGAAGCTTTAATAGGCCTCATGATGAAAGCCAAGTTCTTGGTAATTCACGATTTTGATGCCTCTCTTCCGACAACCACAGCAACCATTAATATAATTAATCTGGTTGAACTAATGCATAGTTTTATTGACTGAATAAACGCATTGGTATTGTAATGAGTATCTGTTTGATAAAGAATATATTCGTTGATTGGCGAATCAGTTATGAATTTTAAGGATTCCATTCAGCATGAATATTCGTGTATACAAGCGAATATCAATGGCAAAGCAAAGACATCATTTCTACAAATGTAGGACACGTAAAACACAAAACATCTGTCTGTTGACTAACACAAAAGTCAGAACGTCCGATACAAATGTCGTGACAGTTCTACGGTACGGAGAAGAAACTTCTCTACAGAAAAATACGTTAACCTATTTAAATCTAAGAAATATATACACACTAATAAAAATATACTCGTTTTGCACTACAAAAATATCATAATTTTTTATTCATATATAGAAGAATATCAAGCATAAATTACCATACTTTTAAACAATTAGAACACTGAGAATACATCGAATCTATGTGGTCATTATTTGTTTGCCTTCACTGCATAATCGTCCTATTATTGTTGTTTTGTCATCTTTGTATTCATTTTCGTCTTTTCAAACATCTAAACATTGAGTTGGTAAAAAGCAAAGATTTATATTCACCTTTCTCTTCTTAACTGAAAAAAATTCATTTTCTTGTTTACACTCAAATCAACAAAATGTCAGAAATTCAATTTGATTTGTTTTGCCCAGAAATCATTGTTCAATGAGGGGCTAAATGTGAAATAACGAATAAATATTTTGACAATTTATTACACAAACACCATGATATCATGGTGTGTTTCTTTGCCCGTATTTTTTAACAAAAACACAAAATTTTGTTATTGAATCGATTTTTTTAAATTTGTTTGGTTGGTGGGTTAGGTGGGTTTGGGGTTAGGCTTCTTGTTGGCGAATAGGTAAATAAATGTAATTGTGACTTTTTCGAAACAACTGTTTTTTATTACTTAACTTTACGTAACTTAAATAATATATATATATATATAATATATATTAGTCAACTTTCATTGTTGAAAAAATATTTTTTTTTCAAAATAGGGTTCCTTATTAGTTAGAGATTTATTTGTTGAAAGCGAACAACCTAGAATGCGTTCATTGAATGTCAAAAAGGTCTCATTATGAATATTCTTGTTATTAGTATTGTGTCCTAATTATCGGTTGTGCTTATATATATAAATGTTACTTGTAATAATAGTAATAATAATAATAATAATAATCGGTTTCACAATAAGTGTTAAAAAACTAAACGTCAATTCTTTTTTTAAACTCTCTTTCTCTCTCTTTCTATCCATTTTAGGATAATTCATTTTTATTTCGAACAATTTATGATATGTCATTTTTTGTCATTGTTATTATAATTATATTAAATTTAATATTTGGTGTCATAGTGGATACATTTGCAGCATTACGTCAAGAAAAACAAAATTCCGAGGAGTTAAATAAAAACCATTGTTGTGTATGTGGTAAGTTTTTTTCCAGTGATTAAGTTTAGATTGATTGATATACATATGTATATGTATACATATTCGTTTTTGCAATTAGAGTTTATGGGGATGATTGTTCTGGGTTCGAATCCCGCGAGCTGAAGGAGCCGTGTATGCGAACTGTTGATGAGTCCCATACCAGGACAAAACGGCCGTCTAGTGCTTCCAGGTGTTTAATGGCAGTGCAGCAATGACTGACAACTTCAACTGTGTATATATATGCGTTGATTATTGACAGTAAACGATGGAAAGTTGAGGTGTGTGTGTGTGTGTTCATGGTTAGGCTGTTCATGTAAACATTGAAACCTACCGCTTATAGACTAACTTATGCATACTTACTTGTACTTGTCTAGCGGTCAAGTATTTTGTCACATTATATCTGTGTCATGATAATAAATGGATGTTTCTTACAGTTAATTTGATAAATTTTGGGTTTTATAAATGAGAACTACGTAATTTTGAAGTATATTTGTCTGACTCACTACTGAATATCGTCATTCTGCAAGTTCTAACCAATCAATCAATCAATCATTAGCAACGTAAAACTACATGAGTACGTACGTACATCAGTTCATGTTGCCATACCTTGTTAGCACAGAGATGTTATTGTCAATTTAAATCCCATAGTAGTAGAGGTCGTAAAAGTAGTAGCATTATTCGGAGAGATTAGGGTTCGAGAATATTAGTTAGGAAGTAGAATCTAGTGAAATAAACTTAAAATGATGAAGTGGTGAGGACTTAAAAAGTTTCGGATTTGAGAGAATACGAATTTCTAATGAGAAACAATTACTAGTGTCGTTTGATTCTTGTAAGATATGAGACAATTATTCACTTCAGGTAATGGATAAAGGTGGCGCACGATCTTGGATTGATTGAAGTTAGATAATTTGATGCTGAATCAGTGTTCCAGAGACTGAAGGTGTTGACTTAGATTTCCGTGTGCACAGTCGTGGATGTACACTTCTGAAGAGTTCCATACTAGGATGAAGTGGACATCCTGTGCTTCCAGGTGTTTAATAGTGGTCTAAGTAAAATCAGAATAGTGCGATTCAAAAATTTCATGACGTTCATCTCAATATAAATGAATAGTTTTACAATAGTCGAGGAAGAAAATCCCATTTGTAAACAGTCTCAATGATAGGCTCTTTAAAAACTGCAACATTTCTCTCAGTGAATTGATTCAAACTCTTTTTTTTCGACATGGAAACTTCCAATTGGCTGAATTCAAATGTTCGGTTTTTAATTTGTTTGTTAATCACAAATGTTGTTTACAATTATAATTTACCTCATTTAACTGGTTAGGACTCCTTGTTTTTCACTCAAGAAAAAAATACGTAGCTGCAATTTGTTTGTCACAATCATAAAGTAACTGTGACAATCAAAACAAAAACAGAGTGTTTTCAATTTTTAAAAAAAAATCTGTTAAAAATAACCATGTTGGTGAATGATAGGGATTGCGTAATTCACTGACAATGTATATATTCTACCTACAATTTCTCACTTTCTTATAAGAAACTATTTTAACAAAAATAAAGGAAAATAGTTTTTTCAATCGCTTAAGAGCGTTTTTAATAATTTTTTCCATTTGAAAATCATTTCTATGTAATATTCAGAAATTGTAGTTTATGGAATCAAAGATATGATGTAGCTGAATCGACTGAAAACGTACACTGTGGATCAAATCAATAGTTATCAATTATTTCCCGATTTTCCGTAGTTCTCTAACAAAGAACTTATTTTTTTTAAAAAAAACCAGTCAAACACTGTTAGACCATCATAAGAAACCTGGTGGAAGCACTGGATGGCCGTTTCGTCCTAGTACGAGATTCGTTGGCAGTGCGCGTTCACGACTCTTGCTACTCGCAGGATTCGAGCCCAGCACCCTCAGTCTTGACCGCTAAAGCTTAACCTCTGGACCACTGATCCAGCATCGTAAGCTATCAGTTATCTAAAGGCGGTCTAACAGTGATCACTTCAACCCTTTTATATAAAGGACGTATTATCCTCAAATCAATAATTGTATTTCATTCTATTTTTTAAATGTTCAATCTAATAATTTTTGTGTATATACTTTAGGTCTACATCGTTCAGCATTTGATCAGTCCAATATAAATTTTGATGAACATATTGATATTGAACATAATGTATGGCATTATTTATATTTTATTATTTATTTGCGAACAAAATCAGTGGACAGTTTAACTGGTTTAGAAATTTATATTGATAAACTGATCAAAGTAAGTGAATGATTGTGTGTGTATTTATTCTGTAAATAAGTGTTTGTGAATGAATTATTTACTTGTTTACTTACTTAATTACTTATTTACGCCTGTTAAACTTCGTGGAGCATTGACTTTCGACTTCGAGTCCTCTCACCAACAATGTTATCCACTCTTCTTTCCACTTCTTCCTAGTTAAGATTCATTCTTGTTCTTTGCTGTGCCACTTTTCTTTTGACCTTGAGAATTCCAAGTTAGGGCTTGCCTCATGATGCCATTCGTTGATTCCCTCAGTGTATGTCCTGTTCATTTTCAGCGTCTTTCTTTCCGAAGTTCCTCTTCAGCTGGGATGTGGTTTGTTCTCTGCCATCGTAGATTATTACTGATAATGTCTGGCTAATCATGAGTAGTATTTAATTGATTTTTTCATTGATTGAAGTGAATTTTTAAGAAAATTGATGTTAAAATGTAAGAAGAAATATTGTGAACAATGGTTATACAGTTGAAAAGTTCAAAAGTATTTTAATAGTGACGTAATCTTTTTCAAAGGATTTTGATCCGTGTCATTCAGTCTCTTACTATCGACTTCTATCATTCCGTGGATCCTAACCAGGCAGTCTAAACCTAACAACATGACTCAATCCATTTGTCTGGGACTTCGTGGATTTGTGTCATGTTTTGGTTTGGCTCTTCAGAGCAGTCGGTGGTTAGGTATTCGTAACACATGTCCAAGTCGCCTAAACGGATGAAGTTTCAATACTTCATCTATTGATCTGCCGAACTTAAACGACCAATACTTCGGGGACATCTATGGTCGAAAACCAGACAGCTACGAATATCTTCGACTCTTACTGGCCATGGTTCACAGTCATAAAGTAGGACGAAGCAAATTACTGCACAGTAAACTCGTCCTCTGTTTAACAGACGAATATCTCGCCTACGCCGTTAGTGATGCAAGTTGTCAAAAGCCAATCGAATCTTCTGTATCCGTGCCAAGAACTATAATTGATAAATTTCACAGTGCATATCAATTCTAGGTGGTAGGTACACATTCAGGTACAGACGAGTCCTGAATAGGATGAAATCCTCACACTTGGATTTCTATTGCTAGTAATATTTTTAGCTTTTTTTTCTCAATATTATTTTCTATGTTCAACAATATTTTAATGGTGAAATCATTTCTTAACTTTTGCATAGAATTTCCATGATTTTACTGAATGTATATTTTATAGTTTATATATTTACATAACAGAATCCGACGGATTAGTTTGCAAAACAATAGAAATACACTGGTTTTTATTACAATAAACTTTATCTAATTCATTTAATCAAAGAATCAATTTCTCTAAATTTTTTTCGAATAATTTATTTTTTTATAAATAAACTTTTGTTTTGGTGTGGTAAATGTAAGAACTCCGTCTGGAGCCCGTCTACGATTATTGACGGTTTGAAGGTCGAATAGAGGAGGAGGAGGAGTAGTATCAGGCGTAGGGGGTTAGAGACTACATCACGTAGAAATCAAACTCGTTAAAAAAATGCTAACGAGGTGCTGTCCAGGTGCAGCACATATATATACGATTATATTTTTGTCGTTTCTCTGATTAACATCACCTACATTTTCGGTTCTGCAGGCATTGAAAACTCCTCCTTAAATAATAGAAGGTAACTATAACATAAACAACTATTTCTGTAAACTATAATTTGTGACGATGAATAAATACATTTACATTCAAACTACACAATAAGAGCAGATAGTAAGGTTCATTAATGTGTAAACGAGAAACGGTGTTTAGAGGTGATTTCTTAAAAGTAATTTCTAGCGGAGCTGTGATTATTTGAACTAATGAGCATACTTTCACTTAAATGTAGATTAGTTTTATGAGATAGATCAGTAGATACATTTTTTTTCAAATGTAAAATTTGTTTATTACCCCTTGAGAATGATGACGTACGAATTTAATTCCCAACAATATCAACAACAACAGCAATAATTTAATTGAAATCATGAATCGATCAATGTTAGACACCATTATTAGAAGCTTTTTGGAAGCACTGGCCAACCGTTTCATCCTATTGTATAAGACTCATAAGATTCCATCTTATTGTTACTGATCACATTATCTAGGCTCCGATGAGTATAGATTGTAACACTTTGAATTAATAAAAAAGAAAACGAATTTCCGTTCCTTTTTTAATAAAACAAATGTAGTGAAGGAGAACACAGGTGTGGGCAATCGAATTGTATTTAACGAAAATTACAGAGTTACTCAGTAAAATAGGAAAACCATATCGTAAACAGTTAATTTGCAAATCTTCAATCCATCATCATTCCATTGTCTGACATTTCACTATTCATGCGTTTCATACAAATTCCATTGTGTTCCCACTCTTCTTCCTTTCTTGATCTTCCCCCATCTTCTGCTACCAGACATTACGTTGACACTCACGTCATATACTACTTATAAGTAGCGCGCACCACACAAAGAAAGAATATACATTTTATTTTAGATTAGTTAATAAGCATTTTCTATTTATTTCATCACCTATGAATTCACTTGAGACTATTAGTATTTATTTTGCTAGTATCTTTTACAAGATAAATTTATTTCATATTTTATTTGAAAAATCAAATTATTTTAGAAATGATAAATTGATCCATGTTAGACATCACCACTAGAAATGTAAGGGAAGCACTGAACAGCTGTTTTATCCTGGTATGAGACTCATTATATTTCAAAAAAGTAAATCAACAGTCGCCACAACGCGCTCATGCAAATTATCATGTGCTCACTAGTGACTTGCTATGTAAGGAAGTTTCTTCGAGTTCTAGTGAGAAGTTGTAACCATTGGAATTCAACCTTGTTTAGGTGTGAAGCAGTGGTCACCGAAGACAGTGGATGAGGTTGCCCAATAATGTAGATTGATCAAAGTTAGAGTTGTAGTACCCTCCCATACATTTGAGTTTGTTCATATTTAATTTGGTTAAGTCCTTTTGATTAACTTATTTCACTGAGACATTCATATAGCAGTAACTTATATATACCATTGGCTTTTATGATTTTCGGGTTTGTATGAGCAGGTACCTTTTAGCATTGCTTACCGCTTACGGTAATATTCATTCTATTCAGTTCAATGTTTGCCTCATAAATATTTCGATGACTCATCCGTTTTCCTATATATATATACACATTTTAATCCTGTATATTCATTCCGCTAACTCACTCATTCGCTTGCTCGCCGTTCGGCACTCGCACATTATTTTTGCTTCGAGTGCTTGTGGTTTGGTGGTCTGTTTATGGTACACCAAATAAATATATTCAACACTTCGTATTTCTCTTTTGATTGATTACTCGTGAGGCGTTATTGAGTAACGGTTGTTTGGACGTGCAGCATACGAAGTCTGAGAACATATTCAGTATCGACCGCCACGAAAGTAGTGAGGTACCGGCTGCCACAGACATGAGCACGGTTAGATATTGGCTCAGTAGTGCTACGGTTAGGGATTCGCTCGCAAGACTGAACGTCTTCAGCTTGAGTCCTGAGAGTGAACACTGTTGATTAGTCCCATACCATCGCAAAACGGCCATCCAGTACTTCCGGCAGGTTGCTAATGGTGGTGTCTAACATTGATCGATTCATGATTCCGAATGTGTAACTCGACAATCTCCACTACTCTCACTCCCTCATGTAAAAAGCGAATTCCGTGTTATTGAAACAAAGACTTTTTTTGGTTTCATCATGTTACATTTTGCGGGCGTTTTGTTTTTAGTTTGTTGAAATGATTCCTTTGTCTTATTAATGAAAAGAAATGCATAGATTGTCTTATTAGATAGAAATTGAATAAAACAAAACCTAATAATTAATCAAGACATACACTTTATTGTCAGTCAGTCAATTACAACATAGAACTTAGTACGTAAGTGCATTAGTTCATGTTGCCGTACCACCAACAGAGACGCAATTGTTCATTCAAATCTCATAGTAGAAGAATTACTGGTAATGGAGAAGATTAGGATTTGAAGATAATATTCAAGAAGTATAAATCAGTGAGATAAGTTTAGAAAGACAAGGGCAGAGGTGTTGACGAATCGAGAAGATTAAGATTAGGGAGAAGACAAACGGTGGATGCACTTGCGGCACTGCAAACGATTTTGAGCCATGTCTTTCAACGTCTCTAACCATCTATTGCTAGCATCTCGCGGACCCCAACTAGATAGTCGACACCTACCGATATGACTTAGTCAACTTGTCAGTGACTTCATGAATTTGTGGCATGTTTTGGTTTTGCCGCTCCTAGGTTTCTTCCAAGTTACTCCTACACCACAAAACAAAGCTCGTTGAGGCAGTTGGTGGTTAGGCATTCGTAACTCATGTCTCAACCACCTCATCTGGCGGAGTTTCAATACTTCATCAATTGATCTGTCATCCTTACCTAGAACTCGTTTCCTAATGGCAGCATTGTTTACTCAGGTATCCCACGATACACGAACAATCCTTCTAAGACATCTATGGTCGAATACTAGTAACCTACGAATATCTTCTACTCTCACTGGCCATGTTTCGCATCCATTTATATTTTATTGAATAATGAATGATTGAATGAATTTTTTTTCTGTTTGTTTGTATGAATTTTTCAATGCGAGAGAAAAAAATTCAAATAAGAAGATAGAAATTTTGAAAAAATAAATATCTATAAATTATGTTGTTCTATAAAAATCGTTATGATTATGATTTAATTCTGAACAATAATGAATAAATATAATCAGTACATTGTTAAACCAAATTCTGTCATGAAACAAGAACCATTTATTTGTGTTTGTTCAACAAACATGAATCAATCCTCGAATGTCTAGACAGTGAAAATCCCAATGTCAAGAAAACAAATCTATGTAGAAATGACATGTTTTAGTTGAATTTATTTAGAGTGAAGGCTTTAAGATGAATGTCATATCATTATTTTTAAAAAATGGGTTGATACTTTGCTGTACTATTTTGTCTAATCCGCGAAATACAACATAAAGCCATGATTCAGTTATTTAGTGCTTTTAGGTTTCTAAAGGTGGTCTAACAATGATTGATTGATTGATAATTTCAATGTGTAGAAAAACATTGATTCCTATAACTCTAATTGGAAAAAAAATCGTAAAATGTGCTCACTAGTGACTAGCTTCATGAGGAAATTCTTGAAGTTCTATTGAGAAGACCGTTGACTAGTGGAGTTCAACCCCTGTCGGGTGTAGGTAGGCAGTAACTAACGAAGACCAATGAGTGAGGTCGCTCAAAATCCCTAGATTAATCGCAGTTAGACATGAACACTTTTTAATGTCAGCCCAATGTTCCATAGGTTATGCGTTCGCTCGCATAACTGAAGGTCCTCGATTCGAATTCTGCGAGATGCAGGAGTTTTGGTTGCGTACTGCTGATATGTCTCATACTCGGAAAAAACGGCTGTCCAGTACTCTCCGGTTTCTAATGGTGTTCTAACAATGACTGATTGGTGAATTCAACGTGTAAAAACATTCATCTCCTTAACTCTCATGGAAAAAAAGAGATAATGATGAACAGTTCACGCTGACTTCGGCGCATCCGTACTCAGTTTTGCTGTAATTCGCTTTTTTTACTTTGAAATAGGTTGTTTGATGTAAACTGATTCATTTACTTGTCATCATTGCATCAGCGGTGAGTAGAATAGAATGCTAGTTACACATTATCTATTTTGGCGTAGTCAATTCATAACAGAATGAAATATCAACAGTATTGGGAAAGTTGTCAATACAATGACGTAGAATTATAATCATTGTGATATTATCAAATTATGAGAAACAAGAAACTATTCAAAAAAAATGTGTTTTCACATTAGAATTAGCAAAGTTTCAATTTTAATAAACTATCACTTGTGAATAACTAAAGTTGGAATTGTTCATATCTAAATAGTACAACCTTGGCTAATTTCTAACACGACTGAATAGAAATCTATGCAGAATATATAGAAGTTCTCTTACAGAACTTAGAAAATCTCTAATGTACTTTTATTACATACTGATAATTCCACTGATATAGATTATTATAATACAACGCCGATAAGTGTTTACTTATTTTGAATTAATCAATGAGAGGATGTAACTTCATTGAAAGATATGCCATTCTGACTGTGGACCTGACATCTGACCTAATGACTGTTAGCACTAAATACTTTCAGTGATAGTAATAGTTGACGAAACATCTTGTATGCAGTAAATGTTTCAAATATTTATTGGGGCACAGTTTTTTGGAGGTTTGCGTTTTTACACTAGCTTCGTGAGGAAATTCGCGGAGTTCTAGTTGAGAAGACGTGACCAGTGGAGTTCAACCCTGTCGGGTGTAGGCAGTAACTACCAAAGACAAGTGGGTGAGGTCGCGCAAAATCCCTAGATCAATCAGAGTTAAGACATTAACACCGTTGGATGTCGGCACAGTGGTCCGATGGTGAGGCGTTCGCCTACAGTGCCAAAGGTCCCGGGTTCGAATCCTGCGAGGGGCAGGAGTCGTGGATGCGCACTGCTGAGGAGTCCCACACTAGGACGAAACGGCCGTCCAGTGCTTCCAGGTTTCTAATGGTGGTCCAACAATGATGATTGATTAATGATTTCAAACGTTCAAATATTTAGCAAAGTTCAATTTAAGATACCCTGAACTCTGATTTTATAATCACTGTGATCAGAAGTCAAACTTCAGATGACTTATTAAAATACTAAATTTTGTTTTTTCCATTGTTTAGATAAAAGTTTATGAGAATGGTTACCACTCTATCTTTCAGCATTTAATATATATATATATATATATATATATATATATATATATATTACGTGCTCCTGTCACCCTCTGTGGTGCATGGGCCGCCGATCATTATTCTCCAATCTACTCTGTCCTAGATGCTCCTTTCCAGTTGTTCCTAGTTGTTATTTAATTGTTTTTTGATTTCAGCCTCTAAATCTATGTTCATGTTTTGCTTTTGACCACCGTGATACAACTGTATGTGTCTTTTATTTTCGTAATTCAATAATGACTTGCAGATTTATGAGCATTTATTTGTATACTTGTTTCCAAATGTCTGATTCTAATTCTTAGCGCATTGTGTTCCTTGTTCGACCTCTTTTCCTTTTTGTTTGAAGGATTCAAGTTAGGGCTTGCCTTACGATGCAGTTACATGATTTCCACAGTGTGTATCTGATTCATTTCCAGCGCCTTTTTCCTCCGAATTTCTTCCTCATCTAGATTGTGCTTTGTTCTTTCTATTTTATTAGTAGGTTGCCAACTGGTGTAATCCGAGTTGACAGTAATAAATTGTGATTTATTAAAGTCTTTAGAAATTAGATTAAGACATCTATCCCTTTTCAACAAATTTATTATGAAGTCTTAAAATGATATCCCCTGTTGTTATTTTTGTAAATGTTTGAATATAAATTATAAATTGGTCTTGGCATCTAAAATCAATATGTTACAACTATAGAAGTTTCAAGCAAAAATTCATACAATAAACTGTGCAGAAATTAGCAAAGCGCTTGCGTCAAACTTAAACGTCTTGGCTTTGATTCACGGTAGCAGTCGTTGATACATGTTGCTAAGGAGTTATTCATTAGAACTCTCTGTTTACAGTAATCAAATTAAAGTAAATCTGTTTAGTTTTTCATGAGGTGAAAAGATGAAATCTTTACAGATTTAATCATAAAATCATGGTTATATAATTAGTCGTATAAACGAAACTGCTTCCAAATACACCAGTCGGTAACAAGAGTTTCGATAAAAGACGGTTTCAGTGTATATTGGAGTATACATACAGAATTCTTCTTGTTGGGATTATGGATAAGTTTATGCGGGAAATTTAAATCGTAACGATTTTTGCGCGCTACTTATTGATAGATCACTCACACATGAGCACAATCTAGCGCTGTTACACTGACTTGTTTTAACAAATATGATTACATTTACTGATCTTCACACGAGAACAAGATTTTCAGTTTGTATAATGGTGACTAGTATATTTAAAGTTCGTAGCATCAATGCTTTCTACAACATCATTTATGTAATGTCATTATTTTTGAAATAAGTAATGGCAGTTTTTTTCTTTCATATCTCGTTATAATTGTAATATACTACTTGTTAGCTATGTGAAATATTCAACAATCAATACCGTTGTAATGTTTTCTTATTTTCGTGAATGCAGAAAAATGAATTCAAATGGATACCACGTAGACGAGCTATGACATTGCATAATGCAGAAAATGATTCTTCTGAAAAATCAGAAGAACTTGTTAAATTAACAAATACACTTAATAAAACAATCCAAACAATGGATTCACTTAGCGAAGCTTTTAAAAAATTATCTACACAGGTAAATTGATAAAAAGTCGTTAAAAAAAATGTTTATTGTTACTTGTATAGAAAAAACGTCGAGATATTATGTCAATAGCCAAAACAGAAGTAAATGATCTGAGCTCTAAAGCGATTGCTCACTAGTTCTTAGTTGAATATTTTTATCATGATACCATTGATGAGATTACAGTAGTGTACAGTCGAGTGGAATGTTGGCCAAGACCAGGACCCGGTCACGGATCCCTTAGCCGGGATCCTGATTCTCTTCTGGATTCAGACCTCGTACTTTCTTAATGCTTGTAGAATACAGGTTATACTTCATATCAAGTCTTGTCTTCTTTTACTCAATATGGGGGTTGGGATAATGGGATTTGAGTAGCCTGTCGTGTCACGGGATACTCGCTCTCGTTTTCCGACTAGGTAAACTCGTAATAGTTTAAGCATATCAAGTTAACGTGTTTACGTGCAGGCGTAACAAATACATAAATGAATTCTGTGATGAAACACAGGCGAGCAACTTGACTGCTTTATTAGACCTCAATGCGATTCCACCGAATCACTTTTTCACGTAATTCAACATTTGAAAATATTTGAGTATAGAAAAATAGTCTACTGAAATAATGACATTATTATGACCTCAAAAAAATCATAATTCGTAATAAATCATTCTACGACTAAGCAAACAAAGATGCAAGGATTTATGAAATTCAGAGGATTTCTATTCACTAGTAGATTAGATTGTCCTCTCAACAGGTCAACAAAGCAATATTGGCTACTGAAGAAGCTTTTTTCCCCACTTTTTTGTTAGTTTACCTTAAACACTTGCAAATGAAGTGTCTGAAAACTATCAAACTCAAGTTATTTACCCATTTAGTCACTCAATACATAACCGTTGCTCATCGTTATCATTCATCACCATCTAAAAAAAGTTAAATAAACCATAGAATTTTCAAACAGTCACAAACATGTAGGATAAAATGGATAGGTCACTGATTTATTATGTCTCGCTAAGGTCAATTTCAGAACAATTTCGCTAAACCAAAAAAAAATCTGCTTTTAATGATTATTTCATTTGGATTTCTTCCGATCTAGATCAATGAACATTATATGGAAAAAACCAAAAAGAAATTACTCTCTTCAATAGTGAATTCTACTTGGAATAAAAATGACAATGAAGGAATTCATGGTGAAGGTGGTTGTGAACAGTAGTAGTAATGTATCAATGGAATGTTTTGTTTTGTTTTAATGTAATAAACTATTCAAAAATAACATTGAACCAATGATGATTAATGCGGGTATTTCAATGTTTCACGTTTTGCTGTTGTTGTTGTTGTTGGTTATTCAAGTCAAAATAATATGAACTAGATAGGTAGATGCTTTAATTCACAATGTTATTCTTATATATATACATATGCATTATGGGGTTGTGGAGAGTTACCTTGTTGAGTTACTTTGTTGAAATCGGGAGTCGAATAATGTTAAACCATCATGAGTAAGACACAAACATCGTTAGATACCGACTTAGTGGTCTGGAGGTTAGGCGTTCGCTTGCAAGTTCGATGGTCTTGGGTTCGAATCCTGTGAGTTCCAGGAGTTAGGGATGCTGACTGCTGATGTGTTCCGTCCATCTTATATATATATATATATATATATATATATATATATATATATATATATATATATGCATAGGTGACTTTTTGTCCTGTTGCATTTTGATTAGTACCTTGACGATGTGGTCATTAAAGTAATGATTATAATGAGGTTGGGGTGATCATCACACTTCTAATTAATATATATAGTAAATATATGCATATACATCGTTGGACGGTAGTTGACTGACAGAAATTACTTTTCTGTCAATCAGTATTTTGAGGGATTTTCAAAAATCTAAATCTTGAACATATAAATTGAATGATACAATTTCTTTATGTGTAATAATTTTTAGCAGTTTTAATTATCTTGTTTTAAAAAGCTTTCCAGAATATCAGAGTCAACATAAATTTGGTTTTCTTTATGTAAACAAACCGTCGATGAAATAACCTTGTTTTTTTACTTCCCTATGAAGTTGAAGTGTTAAAGAATCAGTCAGTTCTCAACAACGTGGAACTTCGAACGTACATACATCAGTCCCAGTTGCCATACCACATTAACTAGTACACAGAGAGATGGAATTATCAGTTGAAAACCTGTAGTGGTAGAGGTAGTAGAAGTATGAGTATTAATCGGAAAGATTAGGTTATGAAGATGTCATTCAAGCAGTATAATCAACTGAAATAAATTTGAGAAGATACATCTGAACCATTGCAAACGATTTCGATCCCTGTTATTCAGAGTTTCTATCCATAGGTTACTATTGTCTCTCGGACACGTGTCTGTTAGTCTTCACCTACTAACATGACTCAGTTCAGTTGTCAGTGACTACATGGATTTGTACCATGTTTTCGTATGACCACCCTTAGCTTTCTTCCAACTTACCCTTACACCACTAAACATAGCATTTTAGGGCAGTCGATGGTTGGGCATACACGTAACACATGTCCAATGTGGGAGATTTCAAGGATTTTAAAATTTGTTTAAATTTTAGTTTATCATACAGTTCAATGTTCCAAACCCCTAATATGATTTTTAGGTACTTAGTTATTATTTAACAGTAAGACGATAAGGTGAACTTGGATAACGATTCTTTAGTTTACAGTACTTTCGAGGTTTTTTCATTCCAGTCTCTTGAAATGTAATACAAGTCATTTTGCGCGTATTACATTCTGTAATATTAAGTTTTTAGAGAATGAACTCATTGACATTTTGGGACAATATCAACAGTATTAGATTCATTCTAAATTTGTTGGGTAATCCGTTACAATCACGTAACAATATGATCATTTGGTTGTGTTTACAGAAGAAATGAGAAATCGAGCAGATAGTATTATCATCTTGTTTTACTCAATTCATCATATATATTTTCCAAACACCACTATACAAACTTACCTTCATTATAGTTGTATGCAAACTCAACATACAGTTTGAATTGATTTTTCTAGTTAGCCTTTTTTAGCGAGTTAGTTTTCTACGGGATGGAGTTGGTAACCCCACGCCAAACCCTCCTCCTTTATTGGGGCTTGAGAACGGCAGCAGCCTCCAAAGGGGATCCAGGCTCAGTTTCTACATACAGTGCTGAACGTGATACCCATGTACACATACATATCATCTGATGTATAGAATAATGGAATGTTTAAAGTAGTCAACTGGATAATGAATAACCTGAATAAAATTTACTTCGGTTCGTTTGAGTCGTATCATCTAGGTGAGCTTCAGAGAAATAAGCAAATATTCACGTAGATATTATTCTAAACGACCTGTTTAAAAAACATAATGATTTCAGGATTTCTAAAAGTGTTGATCAGTGCTGATCTAAATATCAAAGTAATCAAAGCAAGTATAGGTAAGTAAGTAAGTAAGTGAATAAGTAAGTAAGTAAGTAGGTAAGTAAGTAAGTAAGTAGATATGTGCAAATCTTAGTGAAAATCTATTAAATTTATTTCATTGTAAGAGAGTTACGTTTTTTACACGTTAAATTATTTTGTGTATCAGTTGTTGTCTGATAGTTACGTCTGATTTTGAAGAAAACAATACCAGACCTCTTTTATCTTATCAACTTACTTACTTACGCCTGTTACCCCCAATCGAGCATAGGCCGCCCAACCAACTCTGTCCTGGGCTTCCCTTTCCAGTTCTGTCCAATGTTTATTCATTCCTCACATATCTTTCTCTATTTCTCGACGTAATGTGTTCCTTGGCCTTCCTCTTTTCCTTTTGCCTTGAGGGTTCCGTGTGAGGGCTTGTCTCGTGATGCAGTTAGGTGCTTTTCCTACTGTGTCCTATCTACTTACTCCGCTTCTTCCTGATTTCCTCCACCACTGGAATCTGGTTTGTACTCTCCCACAGTACGTTGTTGCTGATGGTGTCTGGCCAACGAATCCGAAGTATTTTGCGTAGACAACTGTTAATAAACACTTGTATCTTATGGATGATGGATTTCGTAGTTCTCCAAGTTTCCGCTCCATACATTAGAACTGTCTTCACATTTGTATTGAAAATCCTGATTTTGGTTTTGGTTGAAAGTTGATTGGAGTTCCAGATAATTTTCAATTGTAGAAATGCAGCCCTTGCTTTGCCAATCCGCGCCCTCACACCTGCATCGGATCCACCTTTCTCGTCGATGATGCTGCCCTCCAAGGCATCTTCATCAAGAGTGATTTGGTTGGTGCATGTTGTGTTGCATCGGAGAATTTTCCTTTTTCCTTTATGTATGTTGAGACCTACTGCTGCTACACTGGTCGTCTTCTCTTGCATTTGTTGTTGACTATGCAATAGAAGAGCCAAGTCATCTGCGAAGTCCAGATCGTCCAGCTGCGTCCTAACTGTCCAGTCGATGCCGACGTTTTCATAATCCAGTCGATGACCAGGAGAAAGAGAAAGGGTGAGAGTAAGCAACCCTGCCTCACACCGGTCTTCACCTCAAAAGAGTCTGTCAGCTGTCCTCCGTGCACGATTTTGCAGTTGAATCCATCATAAGAATTCCGTATGATGTTGACCATCTTCTCAGGCACACCATAGTGTCGAAGAAGCCTCCACAGTGTTTTCCTATCCACGCTATTGAATGCTTTCTCGTAGTCGATGAAGTTGATGTAGAGTGGTGAGTTCCATTCAATTGATTGTTCCACAATGATCCGTAATGTATCAATTTGGTCAGTACACGATCGATCCTTACGAAATCCGGCCTGTTGATCTCGAAGTTGGACGTCTACGAAGTCCTTCATTCTGTTTAACAATACCCTGTTGAAAACTTTGCCTGGTATTGAAAGAAGAGTGATGCCTCTGTAGTTCTGACACTTGCTGAGATCGCCTTTCTTTGGTATTTTTTATCTTATCAAACTTACATGATACTGAAATGCAAATTACATGAGTTCGGGCTTCATTAGTGACATACTTTAAAGTCATTGTCAGTAATGTAACTACTGATCTTCTTTTTCAATATGACATTGGCACTATTTGAATACTGACTCTTTGTCGACTAAGAATATATTTATACATTTGAAATCAAAGTTTCTGTTTTTTCATAAACCCACAAAATCGGTAAACATTTTATTAAAGAAAGAAGTTATGGTTAAGTGTTATCAGAAGTAGCTGAAATTAATCATATAACTACGTAAGTACATCATTCCAAGTTGCCATACCATCTTACGACAGAGACGCAGAGTATGCCTATGACAAATAAGAATCCTGATTACTCAAAAAGAAGTAATTAGTACTGACATTGTTCTGAAAATCAAATATCACCTACATTCTCATAATTCCCCTACAGTTGAGCTCTGAATGATATAGGAAACAACGAAAAGTAAAGAAAGAAGGTTTATTTTCTTCTTGGCTCATTTATGTACAGAAAACAACATTATTCATAAGTTTATTGGTAAATTTTGATCGAAGGAAACCTCTGTAAGTATACGCTAAATTTGATAAACAGAGGTTAGGCATTCGCACACAATACCGAAGGTCTCGGGTTCGAATCCTGCGAGTTGCAGGAGTCATGGATGCTCATTGCACCACCATGATGAGCCCCATACCAGGATGAAACAGCCGTCCAGTGCTTTCAGGTTTCTGATAGTGGTCTAACAATAATTGATTGATGATTTCAAATGTGTAAAAACCGAGTAAGTTAACATCTAGTCAACTCTTTGAGATTTAACTCATTCATCCAAAAGTGATGATTATTTGTACCAGCCTTTATGTCTTCTTTTGCCCATTGTCAAAATTCTTATCTCTCATTGATTTATTTCGTATATGCATATAAATTTTCATCTTTTCTGCTCCATTTCCCCTATCAGTCCATTCAGATTTTTCTCAATTGACATAAATCTCTCATTAGACTTACTCTGAACAATACATCATTATTACGGATTCTATTCTTACACGACGTTATTATCTGCATAAATTAGACGAAAAAATTTCCCAACTATATATATATTTGTATATAAATTATTCACATGAGTGATTATACGATTAATATAGATGATATTTTATTATTTTATAACACATCATTCTAACCGGTGCTTTTTTTTCAATTAAAAAAAAGGATAATCTTTCTAAAACTAACAAATGCCATTTCACAATCTTTTTCAGAATAAAAATATTTATTCACTAACACAGAAATTCATATTTGGCATTTGTTATTCTATAATTATTATGAACTTTTTAACTGTGCAACTTGATGACACAGGTATGGATTAGGAATTGATTAACTCCTCTAGTATTCTGTGTTTTTTTTTAAATCATCATAGTATGAAGATGTTGTTTCCAATGGATGAAATTTTCTCAGCCTTTTCCTCACTTCTGAAGAGTACAATAAATAATTGTGTGTATGGCCAGGATTGGAGAGAAGACTTTCTACTGAGTTGTCAGCATAAGTAATAAGCAAGGTTCGCTTAATAGGGTCAAAAATAGGCGTGACATTCCCTGAAGGTGTATCATAATATGACTGGACTACGACTGCAGATGAGTGACATCAAAAACAAACGTATTATGATATGAAATTCTCAACAAAATACCTTTAGATATCATCGAGTACAAAATAGAAAGTATATCATCTTTAACTATGACTAAGCTTTCTCTAGTGAATGAACAGGGCCTTACAAAGTAATCTTTGTTTTGACAGAAATGGAAATGATAATGAACTCCAGGTGTCCAGCATCTACGACCTGTAAAATTTTACAAATCAATTATTTTTAATAGGTATAATAGTTGTTCATTTTTAATCTATTTCAGTCCAAAAATAAGGGTAAACAATGAACTTATTTTCTATTGTGCCTTCGTTTTACGCTTGTTTTATTATTATTTCACAACAGTTGTTCTTGTTAATTTGTTGTCTCCAAAAAAATTTATAATTTCCTTATTTTGTTATTATGATTAATTGGAATAAAAGCATAAGACAATAATGCATTCATTATTGTTAACGATTAGCTAACAATATATATATGTACATTTTTCATCTAAAAATGATTGACTAATCAGGTCAATACTTATGGCTAAACATTCTATTTACCTAAATATCGGTTCATACCTTATCGAACGAGCTAATCCAAAGATGATTTCAGTTATCTAATCGAACTGGATCTGGTCGGCGGCTTTTACTCCATTGGGAGCAACAAGAGTAAGTAAGTGCATAAGTAAGTAAGTAAGTAAGTAAGTAAGTAAGTAAGTAAGTAAGTAAGTAAGTAAGTACGTAAGTAAGTAAGTAAGTAAGTAAGTAAGTAAGTAAGTAAGTGCATAAGTAAGTAAGTAAGTGCATAAGTAAGTAAGTAGGTAAGTAAGTGCATAAGTAAGTTAGTAAGTAAGTAAGTGCATAAGTAAGAAAGTGCATAAGTAAGTAAGTAAGTGCATAAGTAAGTAACTAAGTAAGTAAGTAATCAAACTAGATATTAACCAGTTATTACTGATGAGTTAAGATAATTAAAAGGGGAATAAAATTTGTTATAATTATTATTTTATATTATATATTACAATTAATAGTATTAATAATAATAATAATAATAATCATTACGAGCTATATTTACAAAAGTTAAAAATTACAATTATAAAAAAATTTTAAACAATCGTAATTCAGTAGTATATAAATTTATTTATGCTTAAAATTGTGAAAAATAATTCAAATGAATAAATTAATATGACGGTAATAATAATAATAATAATAATAATAGCAATAATAAAAATATACAGTTAATTACATTAAATGTACGTCAATAGTACACGTACACGTGTAAATTGAAAATTGAACAAACACTATAATTTTTTTTGTTTTAAATATTATTTTTTATCTAGTCAAACAAATCCCCTTCGGTACTTTATTATCACTATTAATGATTAGTAAAATTTTTGGAATAAGTAAAAAGTATTTCATTTTAAAATTGAATTTAATCAAATATATATTGTCTTGAATGCATTTATTATGTACAATATAATATGATTGCTATTTACACATTGAATATTGAAAAAAAGACAAACTTCTTTTATTAATTAATCTTGACTAATTGATTCATTAATGATTGTTTCATTCGATTGTAAACTATTAGTCCTTTCATTATTATCATTAGTTAAGTTGTTGTTGTTATTGCATTGACCAGTTGGTGTCTCGGGCATGGAACTACGTGTTGATGAGAAACTTATTCGTGCATAATTATGCCGTAATAATAAATGTTTAAATTTATTCTCAATAAATAATAACCATGACCATAATGATACACCAGAACCAACACCCATTAATGATGATTGTAGTATAATGTAATCTTTAATTGATGAGAATAATAAACGACATGGTAAGTTATGATAATATGCTAAACGTTCACCATGAATAGTGAAACATTCACATGTATTTTTGACAATCTCAAAACAACACGGTTCAATGAAATGATGAGTATTAATGACATTGGAATGATTCATTATCGTCAGGAGATGATGATTTGGATGTTGAGGAAGAAGATTGTCAGGTGTTTTCGAATTGACTGAGGAGACTTGGTGGCGCTGTTGTTGTTGTTGGTCTGGTTGTTCGATTGATATTATTCTACAAGTGTTGTCGTACGATGCAATTAGACTGCCTTTTTGTCCAGTATAAATACTTGTCATAAGACAGATAATAAAACAGCTTAATGATAAAATACTTGATGAAACCTAAAATTTTATAGAGAGAGAGAGAGAAATATGATTTTCTTATCAAGTTAGTTATAGTATAGTTTTTAAAATTAAAGCTGAAAAAACAAATATCAAGTAGAGTAATATGATGTTAAATTGTGAACTACATATTTTGTTACAGTTTCTTATGTTTATCAATTAATAACACTATTCTACACTTTTGTTACTAGTCCTAGGTGAGAATAATGTAAGGATAGAATAATGGGGATTATTAAGCTTATCCTATAAAATTGAACTTTGTGAAATGTAACGGAAATCGATCACTTACATTTTAACTCAAAGGCAGGGAGTAGAGAGAGAGCGGCTAGTGAGCAGTGAACAACTAGGAGCCTAGTCACTGGCACAAGATCAATAGTGTTGAAGTGGCTTGTAATTGGCCAATTCGAAGGCGATGGAACTATCTATGAAATAGTAGATGCAACTAAATAGACTAAATAAGGATTCTAACTAATGACTTGGAACATAGTAACCATCAATCAATCATTGTAAGACCATCATTAGAAACTTTTGTGCACGAAAAGACGGCCGTTTCATCCTGGTACGGGTCTCATCAGAAGTGCGCAGCCACAATCCAAGCTGCTCGCAGGATTCGAACCAAGGACCTTCGGCATTGCGCTCGATCGTCTAATATCTGTCTAACTCTGACCAGTCTACAGATTTTTGCGCGACCTCACTCTTTTGTCAATGGGTAAAAACACTAATCTCCATAACTCCAACTGAAAAAATTGGAAGATAGTGTCGATCAGCAGATCAAAGGCATAACACATACATTACCTCAGATTATTTAGAATTCTGAGTTTTCTGATTGATAGCCTACAGCCAGCTACATAAAGCGGTTATATAATGCATGAAACACTTAAAATTGATATTTGTTTTGAAACTTGATCTACAAAATCTAGAATTTTTCGTCTGAATTGACTACTAATTAGTAATGCATCATTATCCACATCTTCATTCTACCTGAATTTAGTTCTTGATATGATGTCGGATGATACAGGTACAAATGTTTTCAATTTCATCCCTGCTTAGCACGAGTTTCGTGTTGAAAAAAGACTCGAACATTCCCCTAACCGTATTCGATGCTTCCAGATCGATTTTTTCCATTTTCACTACTCCTGTACAAATACATATGTTATCAAGACAAATACTGTTTATAAACATATATTTGCATGAATTATTCTGTGAGTATATTCAGTGTACGTCATGCTTTGTCGGCATTTTTTTTCAAGCAGACGAATAACATTTAGTTTGTTTGATTAAAATTGCTAGTTAACCTAATTTAAAACTGACTACTGAAAACATTAAAAGAATATTTCATTTTGTGTTTAATACAATTTAAAACTTTCAAGTTTCATCAAGAGTTTATGACTTCAAAAAAAATGCCCATAATAGTCGTAGAGTGCATCAAAATTTGTAAATCCCGTACAAGCATAGACTGATTGACTGAACTGTTGACGTAGTGAATCTCATTTCTGTATGAAGTTTTTTTTTCAGTCATTTGTAGACATATTTAAGAATGACACGATTTAAATGACTGGAAATGACCAAATCATGTTTTTTTCCCCAGAAAAAGAAAAGAAGATAGTCTACAACGTAAAACGATTCATGTGAAGAATAAAAGAAATTATTTCTTTTGTAAAAATTTGTTTGATGTACTAAATGTAATGATCAAAATGGTAGGATGTTATCAGTCGTTGAAAACGTCACAAAAGCAAGAGAATATCATGTAACTTCACTATTAGCTGTAGACAATTTAGAATGATGATGATTATTATTATTTGATTTTGATAAGGCTAGGTTTTTATGTTGAGAAATTCACTGTTTGAACCGAAAAGCTACGATATATGACTAATTTATCTTAGTTTGAAATTTTTTGAAGATGATTGCTCAAATTAAAGGTTTTTTGTTATGCTCGTCAACTGATATGCTTGAAACCATTACTTGTTCACCTCAGCCGATAAACGAGACAAGACAATGAGCCATTGACGCGCTACGCTACTCTGATCGATTGTCCCAATCTTACTGACGGAAAAGTCTTGATATAGCGTAGAAAGTGTATTCTACAAACACCCAGCGAGCACATTGATCTCAGGTACACAAACCTCGTTTATTTATTCATCATAGAAACATCCTTAGGAGAGTCGCAAAAGTAGCATACTAAAATAACGCATCAAATCACAGCCAAGGATTTTCCTGATGGGAAATGTGCTCTCAAGGTTAACTGATCAGCCCATGAATAAAATCCAAAATTAAGACATTTGTCAAGCGAGTTGTGGGTATCTGACTTTCTCAACACTATTAAACTACTATTTTTTAAATCTTATAACCCATTTGTTTCATCATCATTAGATTTCTGGCAAAATTTGATTATTTGTTGATTCTATTGGTAAGTGACTGCCTCAGTTCTAATATAGCAGACTTAATTGATGGCAATATCTCATAAGTACTTTGAAGTGTCTTTACTAGACTATCTTATTCATTATCTAACTGGTAATCAATGTTTTGCTGAGTTGTTTACAGACGTTGTGAAAAACAAATTTATTCGGAATACAGTTTTTTTCAAGTTGAAACTACCTTGCCTTCATTACACTTTAAGTATTTATAGTGTGTTTGTTCAAGGTAAATTGCAGATATATTTTGCGTAGCACTCACAAATAAGATGACAAGTTTAAGTTTAACTTTGTGACATGCTTTATTAAGTCACTAACTCGCATAAAACCCAACAGTATTTTTGTTTCATTGTTTAAATCACGGACTGATCTTGACTAGAGCACCATTGTAAAACCGACAGCATTACAAGACCATTTTTTCCTAATATGGGACTACTCGGCAGTGTTACTCACCCAGGACCCCTGCACACGGGAATCGAACCTATGACCTTCCTTCTTGCATGCAAACATTTAAAACCTAGACTACTGAATCGGTATTCAATAGTGTAAACTCATACCTTTAATCAATCTATAATGTTGAGAAACCATTGATGCATACTGCTGATAAGCCCTACACTAGAATGAAACGTCCATTTAGTGCTTCCAGTTTTCTAATGATAATCAAGCTAAGATTTGTTTGTGAAATTCACAATGAAAATAGTGAATTCTCTGCAAATCTCCTTTATTATTATTATTTCATTTATCGACTGTTAGAGCTAAAGCTTGTACAGTGTTTTAATACAGTCTAATAGACTTCTTCTGTTTATTCCTTCCAATCACTTGAATTTTGTACTCATTTATTCATCGAAATGACATTTAGCAAAAGGAAGTTTTATTTGTTTTCAATGTTTGGTCTTATAAGTGACTTTATGATCATGTTAAGTAAAATCATCTTTACTTGTAATAAAATCTTTGTGAGTAGATGTAAAAGTCATCCAGTCAGGTACAAAGTAGAACTTGGTACGTACATTCATCAGTTGCATCCAGTTGTCACAACACATTAACACAACGAGATCGAATGGTCAATTCAAATCCCTTTGTCGTAGAGTTTGTAACAATGTTGGCCGTTATGGAACAGAATAAAGATCGATGATTTGATTCGAGAAGTTTATCCCAGTGAAATAAATTTAAGAAAGAATCATGAAGAATTCAGACAAGGAATAGATGCATCTTCTCCATTCCAAATATCTGCACACCGATTACGATTGTCTCGCTGACTGCAACTACCTAGTCTACATCTACTAACATAGTTCATATTATCACCGGTATAAATCGTTATCTGTTATCATTTGAGCCAATGCAAACTACAGTTCCTTTCTAACTACTCTATCTATCTATCTAACACGATCATGTTATTTAGTTCAATATTATGCATATCGATTGTCTGATTTTTAATTTATCAATGAGAATCATTTGATGATTAAACATGTCATCAAACTTACTTGAATAATATTCATAAATTGTGGTGAGATCGACGGGATTCGATGTTGAAAACAAATACATGTTCCAACTAAACCGGAGATAATTAGCTGAAATAAAAATTTTATAGAATAAAACATTGATATTTTTTTTATGAAAAATACCATTAAGAAAAAGTGATAGAAAAAACATGGAAAACTATTTGAGATTAAAAATAGTGTTGTATGTGAAAATCTTACCAGTTCCATAACTTACTCATTTCTTCTGAGCATGCTAATCACAATAATAATTTATTTTCAAATAACAGACATGTTACATGAGGCAAGTTAATTTACAAGCAAGATTAAATTTGTTAAAATTGTTAACATATTTTCATGTAAAAAGTTGTTCAATTAACGAAATATTTCACAAAATATATTGACTACTTGTTGTAGATGGCTAAAATAGTTCACATAAAATTATAGATTGTGTTTTCGACTTTGGAATGTGCTATAGGATAGTTGGCGTGAGTTACGACGAACCACTGATGGTTGAGAACCAAATAAGAGAAATCAACCTTTCATTTTTCTATGGGAAAGTAACTGATACTATATTGTCCAACCGAACCATGCTAGGCACGAGGGAATCGGAACATACGTGCTCCAACGGGTAAAAGTTATGCACTGTAACTTCCTTTATCATCTCCCCTTTTTCTGTAGATTATTAATAGTAGGTATGTTAGGTATTTATTTTCGGTTAGAGTTTTGGACATTTATGTTTTTACACATTTGAAATCATCAATCAATCATTGTTAGACCGCCATTAGAAACCTGGAAGCACTGAACGGTCGTTTCGTCCTGGTATGGGACTCATCAGCAGTGCGCATCCACAACTCATGCTGCACCTCACAGGATTCGAACCCGGGACCTTCGGTATTGTGCGCGAACGCCTAAACGTAGGACCACTGGGCCGGCATCCAACGGTGTTAATGTCTTCCTCTGATTGATTTAGGGATTTTGCACGACCTCACCCATTTGTCTTTGGTAGTTTTAAATGTGTAAGTATTTATTATTCGCTTATCATATTTTCACGGATTGTTTTTTCTACTCCGATAAATTGTTCGGGAATACCAATGGTGAAAACTTAACAATGTACGATACTAACCTTACTAGTAAGTAAGAAGTGCAGAAACGTTGAACTATAAAATCACTCGAGGGACAGCCGGATAAATAGATAGCAATCGTTCACTTATACTGTTTCATTAAAAGTGAGTGACAATTTTAACTTTGAAGATAGTTTTAAATATTTTCTTTGACAAGTAAAAATGTATTTCGTGTATATAAACATTTAATTGTCATTGAAAATGTTACACTAAGAATGTACAGATAAAAAGAAACGAAATTCAGACTAGTGGTATGAGTTGCGATTATCACTTTATAGAGTTTTTGTCATGAACTACGATCAGCTATGATCCTAAAAGGTTCGATTTTGGCACTGAGTTTAGTTTTTCTAATTACAGTTACAGTTTTCGTCATGAACCGACGTAAGCTTTGATGCAACGCTTTGTCATTCTACTGTATACAAACTAAGCTTCATCAAGCACTATTGATAACTCATTACTTTATAGCAAGTGTTATATCATACGATTTGCTACATTGAGAGCAATTATGTTTTATAATTCAGCTTAAGCACCATATTTAATTCACTCTTCAGTTTCGAAATGGAAACTTCCCAATGATTTCAAGCATAATAAGTAGCATATTATGCTAATTTCTGTTTTGTTAGTCATCGCATACAAGTTATCTATTGTTGCAATTAAAATTTTGAACATTTGGTTATCCTAATTCTAATTGGTTTATTCAAGGTTGTCAGAGTATTAGATCTTTGCTAATGAAATTATAACCAAAGCTCTATACTTTCGTATGTACTTACATCAGTTCAAGTTGTCATACCACATTAGCACAGAGATGCAGTTGTCAATTCAAATCCCATAGTAGTAGAGGTAGTAGAAGTATAAGCAGTAATCGGAGAGATAAGGGTTCGAAGATATTATTCAAGAAGTAGAATCTAGTGAATTGATCGAAGTTAGACAATAATACCGTTAGATACCAGCTCATTGGTCCAGAGGTTAGGAGTTCGCACGCAAGACTGAGTGTCCTGGGCTCGAATCCTGCGAGTTGCAGGAGCCATGGATGCTCACTGTTGATTAGTCCCATACCTTCACAAAACGAACGTACAGTGTTTCCATCAGGTTTCTAATGTTCGTGTCTAACATTATTCGGTTCATAATTTCAAATATGTAACTCAGCAATCTTCACAACCTCGTAATGAAAGATGAAGGTGATGAAGAACTCTGAAGGTTCGAACTTGAGAGAACAGCTACCGAAAAAATCACTAGTTACGTGATTGTCGGTATCCAACGTGTTCTTCGACTTCTTTTACTGCTCGTCCAGACACAATCGTTACTAAGTAGCACTTGACGGTTTATAATTCAGAAAGCAAATACAAAGTGTTGAATACGCTTAATTTTGGCACACCACAAATGAACCAGCAGACCACAGACTCACAGAGAAGGGCAAGCAAACTAGCGAGCGAATCGGCGAGTGAATTAATAAGATAAAAATGTACATATATATATATATATATAGGAAAATATCTGAGTCATCGAAATATATATTAGATTAACACTAAAGCGGGTAAGATGAATATTTACGTATGTGGTAAGCTATGTTCAGTCATACCAGCTCATACAAACCAGTACGCATAAGCTGTCGCTATACAAATAGCTTGTTTAAATGAATTAATCGAGAGGGCTTAACCAAATCAAATGTAAGCGAACCCAAATGTATGTGGAGGCACTACACTCTTACAGTTACCAAAAAAATCTGCTTTCTTTTATTCTTATTGATAAAATTTAAACAAACATTGAAAACAAAAATCACAATGGCTTTGTTCTCAACAAAATCAGATTTCAACTTCCCTCACAAATTATATTTGTAACACAATGATAAAAAATATTAACACAATATTTATGTTGAATTTTTTTTGTCAGTTTACTCTTTCCCATTTAAAAACAAAACAAATTCAATACATTTCTAGGTCATCTGAGGACATTACTATACTCTCTCTCATTAGATTGAACCAAGAATATCATTTCTAATGGACAGTTTCAGGTTTATATATTATTTCTCTAAACATGATGATGATGATGACACGATGATTGTTACAATGTTGCCTGAAAAAATTTCTACATCTTAAAATAGAACAACTCAACATCCATTTGATTTGTTTTTTAAACAATTTGATTGGTTAGCAAAAAAAGCAGTCTCATCTATTGATTTGATTTGATTTTTTCGCTTATACATTAAAACAAAATTGTTATAATATATCACTTAGGGGTTATCATAAACTATAAGTTTAATCAAATGATAATATCTAATGTCTTTGTCAGTCAGTTTGTTTGTTTAGAGTGCTTGTTTGTTATGTTTTTCTGTGAAAAGTTTGTTTTGTTACAAAATGAACTAAGATGTATCAGTGTTTTTAAAGATGATGATATTGTAATTTAGTATGATAATTAGAGACATACATATCTCTGTGATATTTTTGATGATCGACTGTATTATGAAGTTGTCAACATCAAGACGGAAGCATAGGATACAATGGACAACTAGAACGCAGCTGGACGGTTTGAACTTTGTAAATGATCTGTCTTTTCTATCTTACACACAACAATAAATGCAAGAGAAGACGATTGGTGTTTCAGCAGCCTCAGCAGCAGCAACAGGTATCAACGTACACACAGAGAGAAGGCAATATTCTTCAATACAACACAACATGCTACAACCAAATCACACTTGATAATGAGACTTTGAAAGATGTAAAAACATTTACAGATGCAGATGTAAAGGGGTGGATCTGTAAAGCGAGGGCTACATTTCTACAACTGAACAACATTTGGAATTCAAAACAACTGTCAACAAACAATAAAGTCGGAATTTTCAATACAAGACAAGTCTATAGTATGAAGAGAAAACTTGGAGAACTACGAAAGCCGTCGTCCAGAAAATACGAGTGTTCATTAACAGCTGTCATAGCTACACACTTTGTATCCGTTGACCAAACACTATTAGCAACAACTTACTATGAGAGACAACAATCCAGACTCCAGAGGAGAGCATGCGACTGTGTCACAAGACGAGCTTCCACTTGGAATCCTTAAGGCCGATAGAGAACAGGAAGGTGAAGGCAAATATTACTTTGAGAAATGGAGACAGACATGAGTAGAATGAACAACGATTGGACAGGACTTGAAAGGAAGGTTCAGGACAGAGTAGATTAGAGAGTGCTGATCGGCAGCCAATGTTCTATTGTGTGTAACAGGTGTAAGTAAGTAAGTAAGTTGCTGAACTTATATTAATCTAATTCAATGTTCACTGCAACCAAAAAACATATAAAAACATTTTATGGGGGCATTCAGAAACCATTTTTAGATAAATATGTTTTGGTGGAGATTATTTGAATTTTTAGAAGATTATTTCATCTGTTGATCTCAGTTGTGATATTTCTGAGAACTAGAAAATAAAAGATTACGGTGAATGTGGAATCACCAGTTCTATGGAGGTCGGTATTTGATATATTCCTAAACTTCGCATACTGCTCATCCTGATGACTCGTTACTAGATGACGCCCAATGGTGGATAAGTCGCAGTGCGAATACGAAGCTTTAAAGATGTTAATTATCGCACCACACAGATCAAGAAACTACAGGCATACAGTGCGAAAGTGAAAATGACATGAGAGTGAGGAAGAGCAACCGAGCGAGTAAGCGAGTCAGTGAATAGGATCAAAATGTACAAATATATACATCGGAAAATGAATGAGTTATCGAATTACCTAAAGGGCTAATATTTATGACAATAGAATGAATATGTTTGTAGGTGGTAAGCCATGTTCAATCATACCTGCTGATACAAACGCGCCAATAATAAAATCAGAATGGTACAGATAAGTTATTGATATAAGAATTACTCTGCCTGTTAAATAAGTGTATGTTAAGTGCTACAAGACAGCTTCTTTCTTTATATGGTTGCGAAGATTGTTGAGTTTAATTCAAATCATGAATCGATCAATG